AGTACACATACACTAAGTGCTAGTCTCTTAATGGGAAAGGCCTATATCCTCATTGGTGGCGTAACCCTTCGACTAGGAACATGGTTTAAGAGTTATAGTACTTAAGTAAATATCTCACGATCCTAAAAGATCAATTATATATAAGTAATTGTAATAACTGTAAGGACTATATCTATGTTTGTACAATGGACAAAGATATAGAATGCCAAGGTGCTTTATCATTAATACGAAAAAGGATTATTTATTACAAGAATAAATGGAAAGACCACAGCCACAAGTTGGCTTGTTGGTCACCTACTCTAACAGATAGAAGATATGGTGTAACTTCTGCCACATCAAGAAGTGAGAATGTTGAGTTGAAGTCTGAGGGGTGAGAAAATTGCAAACTCGTGCCACCAATTGAAAGAAAAGACAATTCGGATTCGAGGGCGAATACTTTTGAAGAGGTGGAGAATGATGTGATCCAGCCATGCAAGGAAGTAAACGCTGAGTTAAACAAAGTGCAAACTGACATTTTGCATGTGGATGAGATGGCGGTGCCTGGAGAGATGCTTCATTCAATCTCTATACAATTCATTCTCTATAAAGAGGATTGATGCATTGGGACTTCGAGCTACAAAATACTCACGTTCATATCGACTTCAATGGCTGCAAGATGGTGTGTTATGCGATGTGGTTTCGAGATGTGTAAGTTTGCTACCAAACATAGAGATTGATTATAAGATCGATTTTGTTTATACTCCTTGTGATATTTGTCCGGATTTGAGTAAGAATACTTTTAAAGAGGGGGAGTATCATACGATCCTGACAAGATCCAAGACGAAGAATTGGAAGAAGAGAAAGCAAGTGAGATTAATGCAGCCGTTCGTGTTGGAATTTAAGAGTAAAGGCTTGAATAAGGCCTTTAAAGAGTCCTTGTTGAGGAATTGCAAGAGAAGGAAGAGGAGAACTCGTTGACAGGCCGAATTCCATACATCCGAAATTCTCGCCTATCTCTAGCAGCTTTACCATTCGGGTTATAACTCTCTCATATAACGTCCAATTAAGGTCCTTCAAATTTCTATGGAAATATAACTAAAATTTCTACAACTTTCAAGTTTGGATTATTTTAAGAGACGGATTTTAATGAATATTTGAGTACTTTGAGAGGTCAATTCTCCTTCGCTGTTCTACAGCAAACTTTAAGATTTTACAAGTGGATTCTTGTAATTTTCTTAGCGACATAATATTGGTTTCTGTGTTGATGGCTCTTTATAACCACGGGGTCAATATTCCAATCTGAATCCCTTGGTCTGTACGTTCCGTGGTTTTGCTTCCGCGTAAGATATTGGGTCCCGTAACAAGTTCTATGGGGTTCGTATTAGGAACTCAATTGAATAGCCACATAATCTGGATGATAAGTGATTGGAACAATTCTCGAAACAAGATGAGAACTTATTTGAATAATTCAAGGAAGAATATACAAATTATCAAGGGGATATGTGAAATGATCTAACGACTGTTACGACAAGTTCACAGAAGACTTATGTCCCAAATTATAAACCCGAAACAACAGAAATAGCCCAAAACCAGTATTACAGACAACAGTTCGGATTTTGAAAACATTCACTAGCTGGTATAGATTATTTTAAAAATCGTAATAATTTGTACAGTTATCGAAATTGGTCATACGATATATCAATTGAAAGATGAAAACTTCAGTGGGATACTGCTCCAAATTCGAACTCCAAACCCTCCAAATTATGCCCCGAAAACAGGTGCGGCAGCAGGTTTTTATATTCGGAAATTTCGCCGATACAAATGTCGGATTAAAATTGGCTTCGTATAGTAGTCTGAATTTGGGGAAAATTTGTTATTACTATAGTATTTAATCTATTCTAGAACTTCTGAGAAGAAAAAAAATCGATATTCAAAGCCTAAGTACCTCAAATCGACTTCCAAAACATCAGTCAGAGACTCCTCTTCTTGCCGGATTCCGGCGACCACCACCAACCTCCGCCTGAAACCATCACCATCGATGTAAATCTAACCTCTCAAGGTCTCCGACGGTACCTATGGATCATCAAATATCCATTGGTAAGACCTTCTTGCAGCCCCTTTCTTTTAAGAATCAATTTGGGGCTTTTTGCCAAAACCTATCAATCCCTCAAACCTATACTTGTTATTGATGTTCATCTTCGGCTGCCACCTCTCCACGAACGCTAACAATCTCGTAAGTGGTATAGCCCGGTTGCCTCCAACCTGCCAATCATCATGTCATCCTACGGGCCGAGGTAGGCTTTCAGTGCTTTCGTTCTCGACTCGCACCGTCCAGTAGAACGACGTTCCTAAATTAAATTGCATATATTAGATAGCAAAAACACTTATTATAAAAATTATATAAACACACATTAAAAACAAACTTACAGGTCCATACCAAACATATATCGCTATATGCGACTTGAACCAACGCATAAACTCCAACTTTTCTGGCCCTCCCTCGCACGGACCAAATACGACGGACCATCCAAAAGTGGAAAATTTACGCCACGGCGACTTCTACGTGCCTCCGCTTCTACCTGCTCATCACCATCGTGATCATTATCCACCATCTCCTTGTCATCATTGCCGTCATCAACCTCATTATTCACCATCTCATCGTCCTCATTGTACGCATAGTGCAATGGAGTACGAACATGACCGACTTGAAGATCATCGGAAGTATACTGAAGCCCAGACTCCGACTGCAATAGCTTCTTCTCTCGCTCTCGCTTCTTCTCTAGCCACCGTTTCCCTTCTATGGTCGGATGCAAGAAATCCCCGATCTCTAATTCGATCCGGATCATCCGGATTGTTCAGCTTCCCACTCAAATCTTTCATCAAACTCTTACCTTTTTCCCGTAACTTGACTCATTAGTTTTTCCCTCTACCTCCTTACATCTATAATTTAACATAAAAACTGAATTAGTATTATTAAAAAAAAAAAAAAAAGTGCTCATGTGAAAACACACAAGCACATTGGAGACAGTAAATTAGCAGCTCAGACAGTAATATTAATTAAAATAATTTCTTTAAGAAAAAACAAAATTTCAAAAACTACGAAAAAAAAAGTCAATTGACAGTTAAATTATTGTCTCCGACAATTATATTACTGTTGGAGACAATAATTTAGCAGCGAAGACAGTAATATTAATTAAAATAATTTTTTTTAGAAAAAAAGAGGTCAATTAATAGTTAAATTACTGTCTCCGACAGTTAAATTACTGTTGGACATAGTAATTTAGCAGCCAAGACAGTAGTATTAATAAAAATATTTATTTTAAGAAAAAGAGAAAAAAAAAGTCAACGCCGGAGACCCGACGGTCAAAGGCGGTTAACCTACCGGCAAAAAAAAAGTTTCAAAAAAAGGATGGTGGGTCAGAATTGGTTAATTGGTGAAATTTGGCTAAATTGGGGTGTAAATCATGAAATTTGAGTTGAATTGGGTTTCAAGGAATTAAGGGTAATTTTGGTATATATAAAAGGATTTTCCTTATTTGCAAATAAGTTTAAATGAGCTGGAAATATTTGGAAGACAAAAAAGTAGGATGTCTTTTTTTTAATTAAGTGCCCTTGTTGTGAAATAAGTAGTGAATCAAAATTAAAAATTGTCACGGGTAGTACGGTCAAATACTCAAAAATTCATAATTAACACCCTCCTAAATAATAAACATTTCAATAAAACCCTTACATAATAATTAATACAAACAGTCACATTTTATTCCAAAAAAATATATTACAACTAATTCTCCTTATGAAATAATATTATTTCAATTACCCCGAGGTTAAAATTTGCAAAATATTCCGTCAAAATTTATGCCGTAAAGGGGACAGTGTAGGAGGACAAAAATATTACGTGAGGTTCTTTTTTTTCTTTTCTTAATTTAACCTTAGTTCAAAAGTTTCTCGTAATTAATTATTATGTTATTTCCTAAAAGTTTTAATTTTAGGTAACTGTGGAAGAAAAGTTTATACATTCTCATAAATTGTATGGATGATATTTGGTAATTGGTAATGCCAAATAAATAAGGCATCTTAGCTTTATGTTAATTGATGCCCTAGCTAGCTCATTTGATTCTAGTTTAGCTATATGTTTTAGGCTTTCCAAACCTAAATTGGTAGCATCGGCCCCCTACCAATTATGGCCAACTTATTTCGATAGGTCAGCTTGTCATAATTAGATAATTACATATCATGGTTTCGATCATCCCACGTCTTCTCGAAAGATAGAATTTAAATAGATTATGAATGTCAAACCGAATAAACGACTCATCCCTATGTGTTCAATCAGGGACGGAACCAGGATGAAAATGAAGAGGGGGCAAACCCGAAAAAAAAATTAAGTTAACAAGACATTGCAAAAATAAGTTTATATTGATATGTTTGAATTAAAATGTTATATATATTATAATTTTATCGTATTTTAAGCATGACAGAAAATATTGAGTTATTAATAAAAAAAATTCAAAAATAAGTAAATATTCATAAGTTATATATATATATATATATATATATGAGGGAAGAAACAAAAAAATTAAGGATTAAAATACATATTTGCAAAAACATTAGTAGGTCAAAAGTAATATTCAAAAAATACAGTGTCAAAATACCTAAAAAATATATTTTTTTTAATTCTTTGGAGCTCAACCGCCCCCCCACCCCCTTAAGTTCCGTCTGTGTACAATTAAAAAAAAAAAAAAAACTGCAAAAACCACATATATTATATTGCAGATTGCTAGCCATGATATTTCTTTTAGCTTGATTGAATTTGCAGATTCTACGTACGATATATTTTCTAGAAGTGCCTAACAAATTAGGCATATTTATAATACCAACAACGTGCAATACACGGTGTAAATAAAAAAAAAAAAAAAAAAAAAAAAAACTCCACTCCAAAAATTGTACTATAAAAGAATGCACTAGTGTAAGTTGTTTCTTGAAAATTAACACAAAAGACTATAAATAAACATCTTTAAAATTAAATGGAGATAAAAGAAGGCACGAAAGATGAGTTCTTCAACGAGTTGCTTCAAAAACTTGAGCAAATGACGAACTGGGATGGTCGTAAGCTCGTTAAATACCAAGGTTTTTGGTTTCCATTGAATTATCTCCGACCACTATTATCTGCTCAAAAGCACTTCAAAGCAAACGATTCCGACATAATATTGTCAACACTTCCTAAATCAGGAACCACATGGTTGAAAGCTCTCGTCTTTTCCATTGCCAATCGTAGTATTTATCCCAATATTGATCAAAGCCCTTTACTCACTTCTAATCCTCACAAACTTGTGCCTTTCATCGAGTTCGATCTTTATTGGAATGAAGAAAATCCCGATCTCACACACATTCCTAGTCCGAGAATTTTCTCAACCCACATTCCTCTAAATGCCCTACCTAATTGCATCCTCGAATCATCTGAATGTAAAATTATCTATATCTGCAGGAACCCTTTGGATCAGTTCATCTCACACTACTATTTCGTACTTCAAAATTTCGTTAGTAAGGATGCGGCCCCACTTGAGTTAGACGAGGCTTTTGACATGTTTTGCCAGGGGGTTCCGGGCCCAGTTTTGGAGCATATGCTTGCATACTGGAATGCCCATTTGGAGAATCCTCGTAAAGTGTTGTTTCTAAAGTATGAAGATTTGAAAGATAATATTGGTTTCAATGTAAAGAAGATTGCTGAGTTTCTAGGGTTTCCATTTTCGTTGGAGGAAGAAGAGCAAGGCTTGATTGATGAAATATCTAGGGTTTGCAGCTTTGGAAATTTGAAGAATTTGGAGGTGAACAAGAATGGATATGTTATGGATGGTTTACTGAAAAATAGTTCCTACTTTAGAAAAGGAGAAGTTGGAGATTGGACCAATTATCTGACTCCTGCCATGGCTGAACGCATGAAAAAACTCATGGAGATTAAGTTCCAGGGCTCTGGTTTAATGTTCAACATCTAAAGAGGCAAACATCTAAATATGACCTTTTATTTCAACATCTAAAGAAACAAACATCTAAAAAGCATAGTTGTTATTGCTGTTGAATATGAGTTTTTTTTTCAATTATGTTACGCTTCAATGATATTTTGTTGGTGCTTTGATCTGTCTCTCCTTATTATCATGCATGGAAGGAAAATAACTTTACTTATCGATAAATTATTTATTTTATAAAATTTCAAGATTTGATTGATCACATGGAGTTAATTTTCGTGTCATATATGGTTAGAAAGATCTTGAAGTATAGTTTCCACAAATAAAAAACGGTTTACAAAATATATGTCCAAGGAAGAATTTATGCTCAGTTTTCTAGAGTTTGCGCCAGTGGCATATGTTGTTACACATAGTCAATATGAACTTTGTGATTTTATTAGTTGTTGTTTGTTACATAATCGACTTTAGTTTTTTTAATTTGTGATTATTGTTTTCCTATTTCTTTTCAGTTAGATGATTTATATTCTATTTAATGATTATATTGTAGTGAATGTTCACTTGTACTTTGAAAGTGGAGTTCATGAATGTTTGCAGCAACAACTTCAATGAGGAAGCAACAATGACTCAACTGATGCAGTTTTCATCATCAAGATTTTCTTATACGTCACATATTACTACAGTCATATAGTCTCATATCCATATTTTCTGATATAGTCTCATATTCCTATAATCAGATATAGTCTCATATGTAGTCATACTCATACATAGCCATATGTATTGATATATATTATATATAAGATCTAGAGTTTTTTTTCTTCTCGAATTTATAGTGATGTTGATGATTGTTTTAGTTGAAGAATTTATATATTTATTTTCTGAATCTTTATTGTGGACTACAAATTGACTTCAAATATACTATTTTAAATTGAAAATGTGAAATACGGTAATATAAAGATAGGATTATTAGTGAGAACCCCCCAATACATTAGGATATATTAGGATGGATCCACCTCCTTTTATAATATTAGAGAAACCCCCTTCATTGTTTAATTTTAATTAATACTCCCTCCGTTTCATAATATTTGTCGCTTTGGAGAATTTTTTTTGTTCCATATTATCTGTCACTTTAAATTTTCAACACTTCATTAATTACTTAATTTCCAGTTTATACCCTTATTAACTCTCTCCAATACTCTTTTTTTAACTAATTTGTCTCTCTTATTAATTATAAGACAAAGTCATTTTAGTCTAAAAGCATACATTTATCTAAAATCAAGACACATTCAATAAAATTCTTAATCTTTGTGCAAAGCTAAAAAACGACAATTAAAATGGAACGGAGGGAGTATTTACATAATTATTAGGTATTATACCTATATTACCCCTGGTTGTCAGATTTTATGATAATTGACCCTAGCCACATATTTTATACCAGCCACCATGCTCTCATCGACACTCATCTCTCCACCACTTCTCTTCTTTCTAGACATGGGAATTCGATAATGGGGTTGGAGGCGACGGCTAAAGGGAGGACGAAGGCGGCGCCACATCTCGACAACGACAAGGGAGTCGCTCTCAAAATCTATGGCGCCGTGAAGAAAGAACAATAGCCGCTATGGAGTCAATTCTCGCTTAGTTCTCAAACCCGTTGGACAGTCTCATATTCTTGTAAATCTCTAATTATTTTTGAGTTTGCAGTATATCTGAACTTCAATGGCGATTAACATTTATTTTGATTAAAAAAAACATAAATTTTGTGGTGTTCGTACTTTGATGTTTTTCACTATTGAATTTGTGATTTTCGTAGGTGATTTTGTGGTGTTTCTGTAGTTGACTTGGTGAAATCAATCTTTGAGACGTAATTTACGAAGAATTGTACCATGTTATGGTTGTTTTTGTGTAGTTTCAATACCTTTGTAGTTGTTTTCAAAACTTTGTAGTTGATTTCGAAAATTCTATAGTTGATTTTGATTTTTTGTAGTCGACTTCGTTAATTTGTAGTTGTTATTTTTGGTACACCTGCTATTGAAAACAAATATTTATTGTAGTTGATTTACAGTTTTTTATAGTTGAATCGGAAAAACATGAAAAAAAAAAAAGAAAAAAAGATGTTTTTAGTAATTTTGCAGTCCTGGTAAACTTGTGGTTGAACACCATAATTTTGTAGTTGTTTACGATAATTTTTATAGTCGATTATGGAAAAATATGAAATAAAAAAATTGAAAAAATTTGAATTGTCGTTGATGTAGGAAATATTATATTTGATTTCGCAAATATTATAGTTGATTTCGTAAATGTTGTAGTTGATTTCGGAAATTTTGTAGTTAATTCTAGAAAAAAAAAATTGATTTATTTTTATTTATTTATTATTTTTCTTAACTTTTTTTTATATATTTTTTTAATCCTTTTTAAGTAAATAAACGAAAAAAAATAAAAAAGAAGGGTGAATGGGTAGTGAATAGAGGGAGGGTCAATTTGGAAATAAATGAAGGGATGATTCTATTACTAATAAGTGAAAATGGGCTAGGCTCATCTTTATTGAAAAAAATGCTAGACTTGATTATAGTCAAATATATTCAAATGAAACATATTAAACTTATCGGGACAAAAGTTCAAAAATAAACATATTTTTTAATTAAATAAGTATTTGAAAACAAAAAATAATAAATAAATAAAATGCGAAAATGCTAAATGCAATCTGAAATTGATAAATGGTAAAAGGTGTTAAATGCAATCTGAAAATGCTAAATGTTGTATAAGAGGTATATTTTGAAATAAATATTTGGACAGAAATTTAGGACGGAAAAGAAGTCGAGGCAAGAATTAGATTCTTTTTTAGTAAGACAAGATTGGCCCGTATATTTGCTTACGTTCTTAGCCAATTGTCCACAAGATACAACGACTTAAGGGTTTCGATTTTTACAGCACAACAAAAGTCGAACTACAGCGAACAAAACGTGAGCTTTGAACTCTCTAGACACGAAGGAAGAGATGAACAATATGTTTATGAATGCAGAGAATGCTTTAGATTCGAATGAGTGAATTTGCATTCTGCAGGGGCTCTATGTTTGCAAAACTTGTGTCCAAAAGTCAGTACTTTTGGAAAGAAAAGGGGCTGAAAAGGTGAGGATCTTTTCGCAGGGACCAGGCACCAATTCAACTTAAGTAACCACCTTTTCGGATGATGAGGCACCACTTGGCGCGCGCTTGGACATGCATGTTTGCCTACTGCACGATCATGTCATCTAGGACACATGTCGCTCTCTAATTAGCTAATTAAAGTATGAAATTCGAACTAATTAATTAAGCCCATAAAACTTAATTATTTTTTTGGTCCAAAATGAGCCCAAGGACCACGTGACACGGGTGCGGGCCGAGCAGGCGGCGGCGCACGTGTGGCTTTGCACTTAAGCTCACACTTGTTATTAAAATACTATTTGAAAGAATTTATGGTCCCGAATTCGTATTATACAGAGATGTTATCTGAAATGTTGTGACACTTGAGACAACATGCAGCGGAACTATAAAGATTAAAAGACAATACTCAGAATTAAAAATGTTCACAAGTAAAGACTTGTGAACTTGCCATTTACAGGACGGAAAAATATATTAAAATCAGTATTCCAAGAATACAAACAGAAGAGGTGCGAAAACTTCTTCCTTATGAATGAATCATTCTCATGATCATTCTTACAATCAAATCTAAATACTAAAAGAAAAATATTAAAAATTCTAGATTTCAAATAATGTACTCATAAAAAGTACGTACAACAGATCCTAGAAACACTCTAAAATTCTCGAGATTAAAACTTCAGCTCTCTATTTTGTTTCCTCGAAATCTGTAATGTTCTTGAGTCTTGAGTTTGGTATTTATAGACTTGCCAAGCTTCCACTCCTCAGCCCATGATCTGCAAGGAAACCAACCACAAGAGCACTCAAGATAATGGGTTAGTGGGTTAGTTAGGAAGTTAGAATAAAACCCACAATTAAACCCACTAATCACTACTTAGCCCACTAAGCCATAACACTTAGCCCACTAAGTAATAACTAAAATTTAGTTTGAAAGTAAGAGAGTTAAAAAACACTTTTGTAAATAACAACGTGTTTCACTATTAGCTATCAATGTTCCACTATTTAAAGTGTTCTGATCAAGATTCTTCACATTTCATATAAATGAATCTTATTTAAGTGTCCATCTTAATGCATTACTTTCTCATTCATACAAAATTAGTGTTGAGAAATTAACTACATTAGATTCATCTACTCTAAACGTAGATTATGAATTTATATTCAATTTCCATTTTTCGATAAATGGAACTCACTTAAATATTTTTTTTTTCAATTGAATTTAGCCCAATTTTCCAACAGAGAGTGACTCGTTGTTAGTAATAAACGCTATCAGGTCTGAAATTGTTGCATGGGATCTCAAATACGTTCACAGGTTGTGCATAAAGGAGGTTCAGCCTATCTTTACTTTTCAGCAGGCTGTGAGGCAAAAAAAACCAAGTGGCAAATCCCTTGGCAAATTGGGTGTACACTCACAAGTCATATCAAGATTATTTTTCCGGAAATAGCTTACCGATTGAGGCTCGTGCTACATATATCTGGGATAAGTTGGGTGTCGCTAATTTTCGACAATGATGGGTTGTTCTTGGTGGCTAAAATTGAACTCCATGTGCTATTTGCACTTTCACCCTCGCCTGGTCACTGTTATGCAATTTCTGAAAGTCCTGCTGGGCTTTTGTTGTAATAGCCAAGATAGGGCCTCTTTCGATTTTTTATTGCTATTGTAGGGGCACTCTTTTTCCTTGTGTAGACCCACAAAGTTTTAACGAGGCCCAATGGAATAATCAAATCTCTTCGGCCAAAAAAAAAATAAAAAAAATTAAGCCTTGACAAAGACTTTCGGAGAAAGTTTATTGGCGTAAAATTAGGTGGAATTCAAATACTTGTATGGTTCATGTACCCCTAAACCGACAAAAATAAAAACGGGGAAGAAAACACCCTACTACAATTTATTACAAAAAGGC